GAATTTTTCAAGGCTTTCAGAGCGGCTTTGCATATACGTGTATAACTGGAATAACTCGTGTGCTTTTAAGAAAAAAATTATTCATCAGAGATAAGCTTTGGTACATTACCAGGTGCTCCGCAAGTACCAGATTTCCCTTCAAACTCATGTTTTCCAACCTTGTGAGAAATACATTCTTTGAAATAAATCTCGAAGAGTAATGACGAATGAGGCAAAAAGATATTAGTCGTACATCGATGGATTATTAGCAGAACCGACGATTGAACGGCTATTGCGCGTTTGCTTTTGTTCTCGCGACTAGACCTGGTTGGCTCGCATTGGAATACAATCATCACTCCAGTCATAAATAGGTTTCATTATGCATTCGTCGTTATTAATAGCTTACCAATGGCACACTGCATAGAACAAATATTCTTAAGTACGCGATAAAAGATTAATATCTGCGCATCGCGAGTGATATTTAATTCATAGACTATTTATGGGAAACAATAAATATGAGCTCGATAAGCACAAAAAGAACATGAAAGTCGTGTAAACGAGCACGGAATCAGAGCCTAAAATTGCGCCCCGCCTGCCTATTTAACAACAGGAAAATTCGCGGATGTTAACATTTAGTTTTCACAGCTCATACGACGGTCATTTATTATACTGGAGACAAAAGTCGTACGCGAGCAAATGCGTTGGTAAAAATGTGAGTTTTTATTTTCAAGGCTGTTCGCAAAGAGTACACCGTGTAACCTCGCAAAACATTATAAAAAGCGCAGACGTTACGGACATGTTTCTAGAAATGCTCAGAATTTCCAGAAAAATATATTGCCAACACAAATGTAATTGAAACGACTCGAAAAATGTGTGTCACGATGCTGTCATCAAAGAATTATCGATGGAAATCCAATACCATTGGGTATTTTTGTGCGGCCGATCATTATAGGTTTCAATCACCTAGATTCGAAGCTTTGAATTTGTTGCTTCGCACGTAGACATAGATTGTGCCTCTCCTGAGCTTAGCATGTTATTAGCGTGTTTAAATATATTTAGAACATAACATTTGAGCAGCCAATGATAAAATTTGTTATCTTAAAAATCCTCGTTTGCGTATCATTGCTCATGGTAATATGATTTAGGGTGATTAATGTATATCTATACGTATATATATCGTTCGATTGATCTGTCGAATAACCGACAGAGAGCAACAGAAAATCTGAGAGATCATCGAAGCAGTGCCTGCAACGAATGTAACGACAAAAGCTCGGTAATCTCCATCGTCATGAATAATTGATTGCAAACGTCAGTCCGCCTATAGACGGCGTTGTTGAGTGAAGATGCGATCTCTCACCGACTCGCAAGAGCTATACGACTATGCGAGAGCGAAGCGAAGCTTGCAGTATAAAGAGTGGCACGTAGAGCAAGAGAGGGCAATCGTCAAAGCTCATCTTTGGCAGCAGCCAGTGTAGCTCGAGAGTCACTCGTCTTTGTGCCACTAGCGGCGCGAATGAGGCCGAGGAGTTTCATATATATATATATATATATATATACATACACCTAGATGATGATTATTCATCCCGTACGTTGTCCTTTTCTTTCTTCTCCCTCTTACTCGTTACCCCGGAAACTTGTAAGCTCTATTGATTGGCGTGTATTCAATCCTGTGCGCGATGCAATTGCAGAAATCTAAAGTCTTCGCAACATATACCGGCTTTGTTGTTTTCTTTCATTCTTTCTTTATTACGAGCCTAAGTGAAGTGACTGTTACAAACAGTGGCCAATTGTTTTTAACCTTCCTAGAGGCTTTCATTCGCTTTGCAATCTATGAGAACTTTTTTGATATTACACTTGAAGCGCTTAACGAGAGAGAATATTCTGGTAGGAACCAAAGGTCGAAAAGCAGAATGCATTTCGAGGACTTTGTTCAATTTGAATTTTACATGGAAACCATAGTTTTATAAAGCTTTCCAAAAAAATTATTTAAAACTAATATTTTATGTGATAAAAGTTTATCTTCAATTTTCCTTTTCAATAATCCATTTCTCATTCAATAATGGTTTCTAAGTCCATTGGAAGTTTTAAACAACGAAGCCTAATATATAACGCAACGTTCGGTTTCAAAATGTTAAATAAAAAATTAGCTGGCAAAATTAATGAGATCGATATGTTGATTTTTAATTAATCTGATAAACTATCGGCACATTTTAAAAACATTTAATAAAGTAGGAATCTTTACCAAAAACTTGAAATAAAAGTTTCACCGGAAATAAGTACAGTTTCATCTTTATCACGGCAATGATCGCTTGGACAATGATCAAATAACATTTCATATTGACTTTTCAAACTGCATCTTGCTTTGAACGGATATATTTCGACGCAATATAGAATTTTTTTATTTAAAGAGGATGCAGACTGAAATTGAATATGAATGACAACAGATGTTAAATATGATATCTACAGTTTTGCGCTTACAGTGAAATTAAATTGTTCACGAATTACAAATGTTTTGGGCTAGAAAATGTCAAGAAAAATTTTTTATGTTCGAAGCTTTTGAGGCCCCACACATCTACGGAATCATATTTCCGAAAATCGCATTTGCCTAACAAGTAAATTTGTTAATTTTACATATTTACATCTTCAGTGAATCATAATTTCGATGACAAAACTTGGTATCGCCGATCAGCAAAGAACAATGCTTTTTTAACAGATATAAAATAAAAGAAAAAATAACGTTCTATCATCATAAAAGCGCTTAAAACAAGCAAGGAAAATGCAATATATTTATGAGAAATGTATTTTTTACAAATTTTGTTAATAAAAATTGAGAAAATGAAGCCAACACAACTTGGAAATTAATTTGTTTGATGGACTTTATTACATCAGTGGACGACTTGTTTAAAGCAAACAATATTTTTCAGCAGTATTTTAATAAAAAGTATTTGAAAAAAGAATATCTGAAGTATTTAATAAAATATGAGATGTAGCAAATGCTTCAATATGACATTCAACCATAAATTTTCGCAATAAAATCGAAATCGTCATGCATTACGTGTCTCGTCCATGAAGCAAAATTGAGAGAATTTTAAAGAAAAGTTTTGACCTCTTTCCAGCTCTTAAAACTAGAGCTCTCCAAAAAGTTTTTGCACCTTTTGCCACATATAAAAAGAAGCAACTTTATAAGTAGCCATGCTCCTAAAACTTCGTTTCTCCTCACTATTCAAATTTGAATTAAGCGCATTAAACTCCAAAAAAGGACCACAAAAGCACATTTCCCGCACGATTATACTTGTTGCATAAAAGCTTAGATTTCAAAAAAAAAAAAAAAGAATTCAGATTGCAGCACAAAACAATGAAATAACAATAATATCCGCGAGCGTCGAAATCCGCAACAAAAGCATAGCAATTAAAAGTACTGCAGTTAAACTACCAAGTCTCATTAGGAGTGCAGACCGCGCGATCCTGGCACCTACACACATAGAGTTTCACAGAGTGTAACGACCGACGAGCGAGGCCGAAACGCCTCCGCGGGAAGTGGGGATCGATGGTAGAGCGCGCGCGCGCGCGCGAGAGAGAGAGAGAGAGAGAGAGAGAGAGAGAGAGAGAGAGAGAGAGAGAGAGAGAAAGCTCAGCGAGCCTCCGCCATCCTCTCGTCGGTTTGGCCTACTTTTCGTGCAACCCTCTTCTCTTTCCACCTCTCCTTCACTCGCTCGCCCTCTCTTGCACTTGCAATTTGCACGTCAAGCGCGCGCCACCTGTGCGGAAAATTAGCAAGCATGTTGCAGGGCTTTTTTTTCGTTCGCCGAGTGCACGCCAAAGAATTGCGTTCCAAGCTATACTGGCTCTTAATTATATGCAAAAGCTTTTTCCACGGGAGAGCAATGTTTATTACAAGAATGCAGATTTGTGGTTTAACGGCACATAACTTGTGAATTTAACAATACTCCATATAGCGTGAAGCTGAAAAAGCTTTTACAGATAGTCTCTGAACAAAAATAATCACGTTTTTCATTATTTTCTTACAAGCGCTAAACTGCCGAAATTAAAGGTTAGGCATGTCATGGCCTATTTAACATTAAATCGGTTTCAAAATTAAATTACCATCAATATACCACTCGAAACCTGAATGACCTTAGAAGCTTGTTTTGCAATGTCAATAATCAATGCACCAGTACGCAGCTTTTTTCGCTCGCAAAACTTGATGTCTTCTGTACGCGAGATATATTTTTCTTTTTGTTGAGCTTGTGTGCTGATAAACTCTTTTCTATAGTGCTTTCTCTTGGCAACTTGCTTTGAACTGCTTTCTTCCCTGAATCATCTTCCTTTTATTTTTGTTTTCTTAGATTTCATTTAAAAAATACTCGACATGGTCGTTTTGCGAGTATAAATCTTTATCGAAGGTGAAAGCAATTTTATTTGTTCAAGCGACGAGTGATTATAAATTAAAAAAAGATTCATACTGGCTTAATGGCGGCTGAGTTCAGCTAACGATTTTCTCGTTTTGCCATTTATTCCTATTCCGCGATGCGAGTGAATGTAGGTCGAGTCGCCCTCGCCGGCGGATTTGCTCGCGAAAAAGCTGATCGACGACCGGCTAAATTAGGTCTCATTTTCTCTCTCTCTCTCTCTCTCTCTCTCTTTCTCACTGCTCGGCCTCTTCAAGCGTTTCTCTGCGGTAGTCATTCGTTTGAACCTTAACGTGGATTTCATGACCAATGAAAAATGCATCCGCATTGCTTGTCTTTGTTTGAACTTCAGCGTTTCATATTTTACATGTTTTGCGATGACGATTTGTATAATATTATTTCTTACAGCTTCTAATATTTACAATATTACTTTGAAAAGAAAATTAAGTTTAGTTGACTTAAACTTGAAGAATATGAAATTAAACAATAAAATACTGGCTGATAAATTTCAACTAATTTCTAACATTTTCTTATCATTTTTCAATTACAGGGATTATTGTAAAATTTAAATGTTACATTAAAAATTATGAAGACCAGAACCTTAACTCCTTTTTACAATCACTATATTTTATTCAAAAACTGTTTTATCACCTTTGACATAATCCATGCCTAGCATTTATAACACTTTTTGCTGATTTTTGTAGAATATTGGTTATTTAATATCGTTGTGCTAGAATATGAAATACTACTGCTCTTGTAAAATAAATCTTTTTAATCATGATTAATGACAAAAAAATTCGTAATCTTATGAATTTTATAAAATATAGTATGCAAAAATAAATTATTGCAACTTGAAATAGCTAAATATTTTCTTAAATCATCAGTAACTTTTAGAAGGAAAATGATGATTTGTTTATTTATGTTTACCAAATAGGAAGTGTATAAAAAAATCTCATTATACATTTGTTGACCAGACTTGTACATACAATTAAATGTATTATCACAGATTCTATTATGTAAAAGAACGTTTAGCATAAGTCTTAATATTTAAATAAATTTCACATGCTGTTTTTGTAGCAATAAAAGCATTGTTTTAAAAATCTAAATTCCAACAGTTTATATTCGCTATTCATGTAGGTAACAGTTGCACTTTCTTTCTAGCACAATGATAAAAAGAAATTCACTTACAATTTGTGTTCATGTGTGCTACTTGCATAGTAACGCTGGATGGCTGACATGTTTGTACGTACGTGTCATATTTTTTAATAGAAATACGAAGCAAACTCGGTAAAGTAATCAATGGTGCAATTTAATATCTAACGGTGCGCGTTATTATAACCATAAAGTGATGTTTTTTCGCTTTCTTATTTACTTTTTCATATACATTCGAAATTTGATGTGTTTTCTCTCGAAGAAAGAATCAATTTCTACATATGCATTAGAAAAAACTATGCTATTCTCGCTTGTTAAAATTTTCAAGAAGTAAACTAATATTTGTACAATTCATACTTTGCTCTTACAATTATCAATCACCGATCGCAATTTGAATTTTGAATTCAATAAAAGTGCGCGAATGTAACGATCTATATAAATTATGTCTTACATGTAAACTCATAAAATAACTATTTTACGTTTTATTTATTAATTTTTTTGTTCTTTTCCTTTTTATGACTGCATATATATCAACGCTACTTTTTTAGGTACGTTTCTAAAGTTTGACGTTATCTTACACATTTCTAACTAGAAATCTATTTGATAAAACGATTATGCATTACGGTACGTGATAAATCTGACATTGATCCAGCAATTCTAATCCTGCAGTTAACTCGATTACTAAATATCATTGTTTTTTATTTGAACAATCTAACACTATACGATCCTGAGTAAAAAAAGATTTTTTTATCATAATTCTTTCTTTCTCTTTATACCAAGGCATCAAAATCTTTCCCGCTAAATTTTAATAAAACTAATAAGGTTATCACACGCTGGGCTATCATTAATAATTATTTTCGTCGACACTTGTGCAATAAATTTTGCATTATTTCTTACATGTCGAGCTCGAATAATAGATCACTTTTACATTCAGCCTCTGACTCGATATCAGAGTGATTATCAGTCTTCGCATTCTCCATGTCTTTAGTCACAACAGTGTTTTCGCTGTTGCGCTTTTGTTTACGTTTGTTTGCGCTACGTGGCGAACGTTCGATTTCCATATTGGCAGTTTTTTGCTTCTCTGTACGTTTATTGGTTTGATGAAGAATTGGTCGTACATCCGGTGTATTTTGTTCCAGCTGAGCTTTTACCTCCAATTTATACTTTTCTTCTCCCTCGGAGTTTTCGCTCTCACTCATACGACGCTCGTGTGCACGTTTCTTATTACGGAGCTTTCGTTGATTTTTCTTGCGCTGGCCCAAAATACTTGAGTTCGACCTACAACGTAAATTCACTAAGAACTTGAATGACTAATTGATATCGTTAAAACAACATTGACATTACTAAGACATTATAATATTATAAATTAATAGAATCATAAATTATGAAAATATTTTATGAAACTTCTAATCAAATCAATAGGCTCAATAAAAAAGAGAAGCCGACCTGTAAAGTTGACGAGAAACTACATCATTAAATCTGACAGTTTTCTTCAAGCTAGAACCCTCGGATTCAGAATTGAATTCATGAATGAAATCATTAAAAGTGACCATCGATAATGCGGCAGTGCTATCATCAATACTTGATTCTGAAATAGAACGTGAAAAGCGTGACTTCAAGATACTCTTGTGTCTTGTGCTACTATTACTACCAATACTGCTTGGAAGTTCATCTCCACTACTTTCAGAAACAGATCTAGATTGGATAAATTGCTTTTTTCTCTCTTCTTCTTGAGATTGTAATTCACTTTCGTCTTCGTGATGCTCATCTTCATCATCCGAATCCAAACTTTGAGAACCTACACTTACAATCACCTCTGTTCCTTTTCTAATCACTTCAACATTTTTGTCGGTTTCTAACTCTGGATCTTCCTGAAATCGAAAATAAAGACATTGTGAATATGTTTAAAAAATGTTTTATTTGTTAATAAAAAAATATTATTTTAATATTTACCACAAGTGCTTGCAATTTATTTTTTATAGATGCAGCAATAAAAAGCTCTTTGGCTTCCATATTTTTTTCATCTATACCAGCAAAGTAACGTGACAGATACTTTGGATTCTTGATTTTAACAGATATCACAACATTATTGTCCCATGGCTCTGTGGTCAAGGTGTCAGGAATAATTTCATTATTATCTACTTTCAAACACAGTGAATAGTAAACAGGGAAAAATCCAGCTCCAATAGATGTGAGTAAGATATGAAGACCAGCATCATTTTCTAATGTGGTATGCTGTATAGACTCTGCATCAACATTTTTTATATGTATTGTGATTGCTAATACATCATCATATAGATTGCATGTAAATGCTGGAAGAGAATACTTTAAATAGGGATTCATGAAATTCTCTGATAATTCACCACTTTCACTAGTCCTTAATGCTGCATCATCACAATCAATATCTACCTTATCACCATTAGATTTATCAATTGAACTATCTGGTAACTTTATGGAATCACTTGAATCTTCACTTTCTTCATGGTTGCCATTCATTTTTGATTCTGGCACAGGACTACCATGATCACTTTCAACACCGCTATCTTCTTTTGTATCAGCCAAAACTGATACATCTCGAATCACAGGTAATGTTACAGTTAACTTTTTCAGCTTAGAATCAAATTTGGCATTACCTTTGTCAGGATCAACTTTATACGATAAAGGTAATTCTAAATGATACTTAGCTGGCCTTTCACTCTTTAATGACAAGTGACGATCTTGAACATCTAATGTAGCATCTGCAGCAGATTTCAACAATGGAAGATTGATAATGATAACCAAATTTTTAGGAGTTGCCACATGCATTTTGGCATCCTTAGTTTCCATAAACTCATCCATATCAATATTACTTTGATGTTTTATAAAAAAGGTTGGTATTGTATATTGTGATTCATTTTCAGTCTTAATGTCTCTTGTATGAAAATATTTTGTAGTTGGTGGAGCTTTTGCTGGTTTTTTCTCAGTAAGCTTCAACCTTTTTTCTCTTTCAGCATCATAGCTAGATATAAGTTTTTGATATATGTCTGGCTCTATGTCTAATTTTTCAGCTGGCTTTTCACAAGGTTTTCTGAGAACTGTGGGTAGACTTACTCCTTTATAATTCATTTTGGGAAATTTCACATTTTTACGATCTAGTTTGACCTTCAAAAACAAAATATATAAATTATTTTGTAAAAGTATAAAATTATTATCAATCATTTACAATTTAAATTTAACCAAGTTATGAAGTATTGAGTAACTTCACTTACAATATCTAAAAATGAAATTAATTAACAAGGTTTTTATCAAAGAAACAAAAGATCATTTTTAAAATAAACAAAAAACATAATGCTTTAAATAAATTACAAGAATAACATTCACAAATAATTTTTCAATGTTTCATTCATAATATACAACAGTATAATAAATTTCTAGAGAATTCTGTGTTCAAATACATCTCATCAGCTGCTAACCTCACTTTTATTTCCAGAAAAAATTTTGGAGCAAAATATTCGTATATTCCAAAAATGAAAGTTAAAGCAACGATCATAAATGTCAATGGTAAAATTTAGTTTTTTTGTATAAAAAAAATGACAGTTGTCAATAACAATTATCAAATAAAAAATAGTAATAACTACTAAAATTATGCATTTCAATAATTTTTTCATTCAACAACAGAACTCGTGACAAAAAATATACTGTCTGTCAACTAAGTAATCTATCTGTTCATGAACTCCTTAATTTGATAGCCAAATACGGAAGTATCTAGGTTTCTATTAATAAAATGGAGTATCAAAGTAATGACACGTTGTAAGCCACAAATATACAAACGATAACAATTGTAAACCATTCACTACGAGCAAAAAATCCGTTATTACTCAATTATTGTAGCTACATAAAAATTGACGTTTATACTATTGCTTTTACGTATTACGTAAAGGCAGTAAATGCATAGAAAGCCTCGCGAAAAAAAGGAGAAAATTTCTAAGCAAAAATTGATAAGACCCGTTATAGTATGATCAAAGTGACAGCCGCAATTTGATCACCTTGAAGTTCTTCTCCACACCGTCCATCGCGGTATCATTGACAATTTTCCGAAACCTGGAGTTTCTTTCGGCAAGGTGAAGAGTATCAGGATGAAAGACAACGTCGAAAACACGACAGCGAACGTGTTTCTTATCGAGGTCGTCCCTTGGTGGCGACAGTACATGAGGAATAGACCAGCTGAGTCCATTATCTACGGCAGCCGGTTGATGACTCGGTTTGTCGACGCACTCGTTCTTGGTTACATTGATGAAACATTTGCTTCTACCATCGAGGCTCGTTTTCAGCACATAGCCGGGTTGAGGTTTGACGAATGTCACTTGAATGCCTCGCTCGCGTTCTAACTGCGTGATTTCGGCTTCGTAACGTGCTCGATTCTCCGGGTCGGTCACCTCGTCGGCGTACTCGCGTAACAGTTGTCGGAACTCTTCCTTCTTCATGCAATCCGTCAGCGCTTTCAATTCATCTTTTGTCACCTCCAGCTCCTCCCAATCACGTTTCCGTTGCTCCTCGTATGCATCCATGTTTCACTTGCTTTAGGCAATTTGTTACTGAGCCAGAGCGCCGCCGCTCGCTGTTTCTAGGCAGTCTCTTTGCGGGATAGACATATATCTGTGCTATGTTTACTAATAAAAAGTCTGTGGCTCCCGTATGTGTACGTGTGTGCCGGAGCCTTTTAACCGTCTAAGTTTACCGAGAGGGGAAGGGTACGTATGTGTATATGTACATACGTCCGTATATGCGAGAAGCAACTGCGAAGTGCGACTGTACACTACCACGTGGACTTGTACTACGTGTCGGACTCAGAACTTGCGATGTGACTTGTTTGCGACTGCGCGCCGGCCGGTATGTACATGACTACGTGGAGGCGCCACAAACAATTCTGTTTTGAAATTTCTCACAACTTTGCTACTTAATTTTTTTTAATTTAAAAGACTTTCTACGTTTTTCTACACAGCAGTTATTTCAATACTTTAATTTACAAAGTTATTGGTAGTGGTTGATTTGTATGTGAAAGCTTCAATAGAAAATAAAGCGTGTGTTGCCATAGATACCAAATCAATAGATTGCTTTGGTCTAAACTCAACGAAATCAATAATGGTTGATTGATCTTTCAAAATAGATTAATTTTTACCATACTTCAAACATATAATTAAAAAGTGAGTTTTGATTAATAGCCAAAGGAGTAATCAAACTTGCAGCGATCATTACGTAAAAGCGTTCGTAACTTAGGCTAATTTCATGTGCAGACGCGTTTGATCACATTAATTCATGTAAAACTACCTAAAGCTTTTCAATGTAACTGTGGTTGCGGCGTGAATTTGACGCACGCTGCACGCACAGTAAAAACATACACGAGGCTAAATTGTACAATTGAAAGTGTATGCATACATGTGCGTAGACTTTCCAGCTCTATTTAGCCGTTCACGCGTGCGTTATGCTCTCCTTTTCCGAGGTGGCTCGGCAGCAAACGTTCGGTCTACGTGTAGACGAGAAGGTATTATGCTTATCTGCGAATAATACCGAGAGCTACTTTCACGACACACCTGTATTTTATGCTCGCCTATTCTCGCTTGGAATCTTCGGGCACCTTAACAGATATTCTATGTAATCTTGCACGAGTGCACGACTAGCTTGGTAATAAATTAATGCTTAATCACGAAAGCGCCTAAACCTTATTATTTTCTACTAATGCAAACTAATGCTGCGCGGCATACGTGAATTAATGGATTTTCTTTCAAGCACAAAAGAAAGTGAAAATGATATACTGTCAGGTAGTTTATGACTTTACGAGCTTTGCATACGAACATTCTACTTACAGCTAAGTAAAAGAATTCCGATTTCTTTTTTTTTTTCTTTTTTGCAAACGATCTTGAGCGAACCGAAATATCGTGTTTGACTAAACTGTCTTTTACTACTAAATCTACAACTGAAATCGAATCATTGAGTATTTTGTAGTAAGAAAAGGACGATTGTCCAAGCTAATAGCACCTATGCAAATTTGCGTGCATATCCTATTTCAAAAATCATATTTATTTTCAAGCTGTACATGAACGATTAAAGCATATATGCATCTTTTTAATATTTTATTGAAAGTACAGGTGTTTTTTTGTTGTTTTTAAACGGAAAGTCAATTTGTACATAAATATACTTATTTCTGTAAACTTAAAGTATTATCATTTAACAGAAGACCATGAGTCACCACAAAGTTTAAATGCATCGGATAACATGAAATGAACGAATGTAAAGTGCTCGGTAAATAGAGGTGTTTGTAAATAATATTTATAATTTGAAATCATTTATCGAATATACATTAATGCTAATACACACAGAACATAAATCAAATGAAACAATATAAGTAATTCATTAAGGCTCATGCCAAACGTAATATCAACAAAATAGAGTCTGATAGAGAAACGCGAAAGAGGTTTTCGTCTTGATTTTTCTCGTAGAAAAGATTAGTTTTTCAAACATCAAAATTTTTGAATATTATAACAATTTTACACCAACGAAAGAATAGAGTTTGATGAGAAAATGTTAATGAGATTTTATTCTTGATTCTTGTCTGTAGAATCGATTAAAGTCATTAATTGTTCAAGAATTATGCTTAAAAAACTTTTTGTAAACAATTAGGAATGATAGAAGAAAAAGTACAGATATTTTTATCCTATTTATAAATATTATGGTTAATTTGGAATTACCTCATCCGGGTTTGTCATGAGTTTTAATGGGTTAAAAAAATTGTGGCATTATCGTGTATCAGGAGACAATTTTATTACATATGTTTATTTTAAAAAAGTAATGAATAACTAACGTAAACGCTTAAAAATAATGCTTGTTGTATATGAAACCATTTTCAATAAAAATGTAAAATTTATATAAAGAGCATGTTTTTTCAAAGAAATAAGTCTGTATTCACTCCAAGTTGTAATACGCTGGTTAAAAATTCTACTGCTGAATCTATACGCTCACTGGCATCGGAACGCTGAATATTTCATAATAATAAAACGCTAATTGTCTAGACTAGTAATCCCACTAGAGTGAGTCACCGGTGTGTCAAACAATGCAAAGAAAGGCCTAGTGAAAACTTTTTTTCTTGCAAGCTATACGAATGGCTATAGGCACAGAGAGTCGTGTTTTTAAGCGAGCTTTTATATGGGGAGGCAATCAATACTGTAATATAACACAAAACCACTTTGCATACACTACGAAAAGGAAGAAACGACGCACTCGCAAGCTTTTCATCGGCAAGTACAGTCGCATCCTACAAAAAAACACATCAAATCGTGCACAATCGGCGAGCAGTCGAGCGACGACGACGTAAAAGTGGGGAGAGTCGTGCTGCACGTGGGGGGATGGGCCCCGAGTGTTTTGCCCGTTTGTGACTGACCCACTGACATTCTCCTGCGCGCGCTAGCCGCAAGCGCACACACACCCGCGATGACGACAAACGTCGTAAAGTGAATTTCAAGTGTAGTAGAGCAGAAACGAACGGTAAACATGCGTGTGTGCAGAAGTATCTCGGCGTTGGTTTGCCTACTGCTGACCACTGGATTCATTGTCATCACTTCGAAGTTAGCGTTGGTCGACGATCAAGACGACGAGAATTATGTGGATTTCGCCGCTGAAGCATCCTATCAGAGCGAAGATTTTTACGAGGCTGAAACTATAAGCGTTGTGTCTTCTTCTACGGAGACTTCGAGGGTGAGTGTTGCTTAATTATCGCACGTGTCATTTCTCTTCACCAGTTTCTCCTTTGTATTTCGCTTTGCGCTCGAAAAAGAATTATGAACGCATATATGGTGATGATATTTATTTTTGGATATAGCTGTTTTTGATACTCGACCTTTAAAGTTCAGATCGACACGTAAAATCTTTGATCGATAATCTGGGTTTTTTTCTCTTGGACCTTGTATGGCTTTAAAACGGAGTTCCCGTAGATTAATCAAATCATATAAAATAATTTTTTTTTCTTTGCCAACTATGAACGTGGATAGACTGACGCTTTGGTCATTATTCATTTCACGGATAAACACTTTAATTCTTCCGAGAGGTTTCTAGGATGAAATATCGCCTTCGCGATAGGACGGCGATTAATATTCGATTATCTAAGCGCTCACTCATCAAATGTAAATCTCAACAACGCACGCGTGCACTGTTCACTGGTTGCCATTGAAAAATAAAGCTATGGCTTTCGAGGCAGATTATCGTCGATTACCAAGGAAAGTGTAATGTGCATGCACGAAAGTTTTACGGACAAGAAAGCGAAAAGTCCGCAAAAGGAGGAACGTCGCGCTTTCCACGCTTTAGCTTGAAAATTCGCAGAAAGTCTCTGCCAAAGTTTACGCAACGGTCGGCGCTTTTCCATGTGCGCTGCAGCTGCGTTTGCAACGCATAAGAAATTATGGCATGTGTACATTCGCGGCAAGGCGGTGAAAGCGTTTTTCCTTTACATATACCCACAGCTGTCTTGCATGTACGTTTTTCTCTATGACGCTTCTGGATAGCTTAAGCAACTGATGCAGCTCTATTCTCAGTTGTATTAAGGATGTAATGAGTCAGGCGCGTTGAAATATAATGGGATATGCAGACGTGCCTGCGGGATATTTAAGTAGTCGTCGAGTGAGAATTTTCAGAAATTCGCTACTAAGCTAAATGAAATTACCGTTCATTTTTCTGTTTTACCCACATGAAGTTGAAAGACAAAAAATTGTTTGTTTATTCGAGCGATGAAAATCACGGTGAGCGTAATTTGTCAAGAAATCGTTACCCAATCCAATCGAAGGAGAACAGACGATTGAAATGCATAATAGCAGCTCTCCACCGCGGGCATTTCAAAAGATTACGAGGCTGTAGTTGTCGGGTAGCCCAATTAAGGAACATTAATTTGCGCAACGCAGAAAGGCCTCGAGGAAAATGTTGTTATTCTACGAACCTTGGGCTTACACACGCATATTCCCTCGGACTCGTGAAACTTACAGTTTATTTTTTGTCGCCAAATGGCATCGCACGCATATGGCAAGAAAATGCGCTCACGGCGGGTGTGTCGTATGCCGTAATTTCTCGACTAATAGGTTCACTTCTTTTATTTTTTTTTATCGGTCCGAGCTCGCGGAAAATTGCCTTTCGTGTTTTGCACTCGACAACACAGATTCTTTGTTGGTTGACTTTTTTCTGTTCCGTCCTTTTGCGCGCCGCTTGTCTTAATTTAGATTTCAAATTGTCTACTACTTATCGTTCATGACAAGAATTACCAGAGCATATATGTACAAAATCATCCTGGAATTATGTTATTTTATCCGATTAAGTTGTAAATTTGGCATGTGAACTTTATACTCCAATTGAATTTCAACCCGAACAAAACGACGTCGTTAAGTTCAACGTCATCATTAATTCAACTGCAGAGAATCTCAAGGAAAATAATTGCACGCGACTCCCTTTTTCCTTTGTCAAACAATCGTTCGCATTGCACAACTCCAACTCTGATTTCGTTCCAGCGTTTTTTTCCCCGACGTACAATTATCCCACTCCATCATCCCATCACCTTTCATTTTTCGAGCAGCGATGTGAGTCTCAGTTATAAAACGTCGTTCGGCAGATGCAACGTTACGTGACACCGTCGTTAGCAGAGCTCGGCGAACATGGAATACCGCCAGCCACAAACGAGCACATATTGATGGTAACGAGGGTGCCAGGTGCAGGCTCCGAATTACTCGTCCTCATTCTTCAAAGACTCCAAGGCTACAATGCCTTCAAACATATAAGACTGCCGCCCGGTGACGAGGGCACCCTCAGCAATCTACAGCAGGTATTCTTTTTACGGCTACATTGATATATTTAAATTCCTCTCCATGAAATGGAGCTCGATAATATTGATTAATGTGTACTTCATATATCATATTGGCTAAACTTTTCTTTCGAAATACGTATCGAATAGCAGGCGGATCAAATAATTATGCATCGCAAAACTTACGCAAACGCTCGAACAAGATAGTTTGAATACAAAAATCGCTTTATTTTAAAACAAAATAAAACCCTTTGTTCGTAATAAAATAAATATAGAAAGCTTTGTACATCATAATACATTTAAAGGTTTTAACACCTGACGGACTCAATTCTATATACCGATGATATGCTCGTAACTTACGTAAGTAAAAGTTATCTTTGAAAACTTGGGCTATCGACGTAAAGAAGCGCAACACTTGTATACTTACTGCGCGATAGTTAAACGTAGAATTAATTGTTGGTCAACAGTCGTATTTTCCAAAGGAAAACACTTTTTCTCGTTTGGGTGATTATAAATCGAATCGCATAAGGTTCGATTAGAGACGTTACACGGGCGGCAAGAAACGGCAGTATAACAAAGTTAATGTCTCACAAAACGTGTAAATACACAAAGGTAGCCGCATCCAGCAGTCGCGTCCTTGTTAGAGTTGAGTTTTTTATTGTCCGATCAGCGACGAAAAGAAAAAGAAAGGGAACTTTCTGGAAATGTCGTGCAGCACAGAGTAAATTACAAAACGTGTTCTGGGATTGTAAGGGTAGATTGCTTTTTCTTTTCTATGTAAGGCGTGGCAATTATACCAGTGAGGAGTTTCTGTTTAGCGGTGCCTAATTGCTCGAGTCAGTTAGTCCATTGGGAAACGCCAATATTTTCGAAGCGAATAACTCGCAAGGGCGCTCAATGATCATTCTCGGCGGTGGCTTTCGTTGAAGTTGCGCCTCGGCTTTTCTGTATATGGGCACAGGCGCGCGGCCGGTGCATCCTTCATATATATTCATCGATACGATACTAAGAGCGAGTGAACGCTGCGACGAGTGTATTGTGCAGGTGTGCGCAGAAGTGATAATTGTGCACTACTGCACACGGCTACACGAGCCGAGAGGACAACTTTCTTCTTACGACGCGGCTCTCGGCGATCTTTTATTCTCATAATTGTCGTTTGCGATAAACTTGGAATGGTAAAATATGGCGAGTTGTCCTTGAATGTACGCCAATCGAAGACAGAAAGCGGCCAATAACATTGGAAGCTTCCAAGAAGAGGATTTCCATTGTACGAAGAAAGGCAGCTGAGATCAGGGCATATCTCTGTTATGTAAGTTGCATGCACGTGATGAGCGTGCACCGGCCTCTTTGTTCGCCGATGGCGTTCTTTTCAACTTTCGACGAGGTGCGCAAGCAGCTTAAACTTTCTATAAGGTCGCTTCTTCGTGTCTACTCCCCTCTCACGGCCGCTTTATTACCAAACCGTGATCAATAAAGTGTACCTCTCTCTCTCGCACGCGATCATTTCATTTGTGCAATGGTGCGATTTTATCTCGTTCATAAAGCTTCTTTAGCGAGGAATTTATGTTTACGATCAGAACTTTACGATTGTTTACGCAACCACCTGGGTAATGAAGGCTATTGAAATGCGCAATGACGAAGAAAAAAACAGGATAATGTGCATTAATGTAGTCCGCTTTCGTTTGTTCAAGATGTTTTCTCGTGTTCGTCCTTTCGCGGGTGACAAAATCGATTCTCTTGTAACGCGTATCGAGGACGTATGTACTCGAGTTTCCAATGTGGCAATCCAGCGTAAAAAATCCTATATGCTAATGTATACGAGTATTCGATGGAAGGATTGGAATGTTGCGCGTTAATGAATTACTTTCTGATGTATTTATATCCGTTCGAAATCTTTTCTTGTATTTTTTTATCAGGAGCTGTTAGTCGAAGAAATAACGAGTATCATTAGGCAAGAGGCCATACCGTTGTCGTTTGATGGTGACGTACGATTCTTGAATTTCTCCGCTTATGGACGACAGGCACCTACGCATATATCACTGGTACGAGATCCATTAGATCCGAAAACCTTGGAGAAGTATGCACAATATTTTTCTTTTCGTTAGCAGTAATTGTTTAATATGAATGAATGGGATCGCCTGATGAATATGATCAGTTAGAACTGATGGTAGATTATACTTGAATAATAATCTACAATTAAAATGCTATCGTAATAATACCTCATCTTTTAGTGCTATGAGACTACTGAATCCAATTAAAATTCATAATGCCTAATGAACTCATCGTAAACAGCTACTTCAATATTAATTCATAATTATAATCTATTCTTTGCTCGCGATTGAGTTGTCAATTAAACAATACTGACAAAAACATTCGATTATAAAAAAACAGTTGCTATATGCATCAAAAACCTACTCAGAATTAATCGTATATATTTTTTAGCTAAAAAGTGTAAATGAGTTAAAAAAGCGGCTATTTGATATCAAAAGAATCAAGTTTTTTTTTTTCGTGTAAATTCCTTTAGAGATTGTCGATCATTGCGGAGTTCAATTTGCATGCGCATAAAAATCAAATGGCGCACATTTTTTCTCAAAGAAATCCATTAGACGTGCTATTTATTTTGGATCTTGGGTTATTCCGTCCTCATCAAATATTAATAAAGGCAACCAGCGAGGGCCACCAGCGAAATCTTAGATTCATGGCTTGTTCGTAGGTTCAAGAAAGGCGATTCAGCAACAATTTACCGAGGATCCATATCTCACTTTTGTGGACATGACCCACGTTGTTCGTGAGTATTTCTTTTTTTTTTCGATAACTATAACCATACGTTTCTCCACGTCACATTCTTACGACATGCAAAAGTCAAAAATAGATATATGTTGAAGTATAGGCGTTATATTAAGAGAGAAAGAGAGATAATCTGGAAATTTATTGACACTGTGATTTAAAATTAGTTACAAGAGGATATTTTCATGTCTATAAGCGATTCTTAACGATTATATCGACACGCAAAGTCGTAACCATGAATATGGTAAAACTCGTGGCGATAGATCGTTGGTACATGTTTGAGGAACTTCACACTGTTGTGATTAATAAGTCAATTAATGTCGTAAAATCAGAAAGTTATGTTGAACTAGGTCAACTAGCAAGTTTAACATGAATAATTAGATAACCCATAACCCTCATTAATCATTAGTTATTAATTAAACAGACATCATAAAAAAATTAGCCTACCATTCGTTGCATCACATAAGCAAATCATGTCTAACAAGAAATCAAGAGCAACCATCCCGTAGGGGTACGAGATAGAAAATTCCTGTGCTCGGAAGCACCTCGTACACCTATTTGCGTTACGCAATACTCTCTCTCTCTCTCTCTCTCTCTCTCTCTCCTCTCTCTCTCTCTCTCTCTCTCTCTCTCTCTCTCTCTCTCTCTCTCTCTCTCTCTCTCTCTCTCTCTCCTCTCTCTCTCTCTCTCTCCTCTCTCTCTCTCTCTCTCCTCTCTCTCTCTCTCTCTCTCTCTCTCTCTCTCTCTCTCTCTCTCTCTCTCTCTCTCTCTCTCTCTCTCTCTCTCTCTCTCTCTCTCTCTCTCTCTCTCTCGTTCGTACCGCGATCAAGACGTCTATTACGCGCTCAATCACGTTTACGGATACATTCGTGAAGTGTCTGTAGCTTTCCGCATGTTTACGTTATGCGTAATGCGATAGTTGGTCAATTTACATTTTACGGCGTTATTTACCTCTCTTGCTTTTTTGTTTTATTTACATTTAGCGTGAGAAACAATGATTGGGCGCTTGAACAAGCAAAAGCTAATGTACTCAGCTGGTATCCGGTCGTTGGCGTTTTGGACTGCATGGATCATACCGTGAAAGTACTGGAAAAGTCTTTTCCTTATTTCTTTGAAGGAGCTTCCTACTTGTATGATAAAATTAGTGAGTTTGTTTTCTACTAATACACGTAAAATGAATGCATTTTTACGATAATTTTTATGATTTATATTATTTGTGATAAAATTCAATTATTGTACAGAATATGTTAGTCAATACTTAAAAAACCAAATAAATAATGCATGTTTAACTCGATATGCAGATTTTTGCATATTATTGAAATGATTGTAAATCCTATTGTGAATCGATAGTTTTCACAAGTTTGAAAATTAAGTTTCAAGACATTATATTTTATATTCCACTAAAAAGTAAAAAAGTTAATGACATTTTTTTTTCAGAACCACAAAAAAAGGCAACCGAAGTGTCTTCTACTTTGAAACCACTTACGAAAAAGCGTTTGAAAAATCTTTTGAAGAAAGAAGTACAATTTTATGAATGGGTAAAATCGCGACTTCTTAATGCAACAACGGAAAATGGATGAGTGGCATTGATCAATAGACATAGTATTAAAATAATTGTGTGTAAAACAAGCAACTCTGAATGTGATACAAGAGATTTGCCAGTAAGAGATCTAGTTTATCGGCCGACGAGATGCCGACAGCTTTACGCGCAGCAGAAACGTACACGTGCTGACATCTTGTGATATTCAAGAAACACATTATTACATAAAATCGTGTAGAAGTTCACCAAACATCCGTTAGAGTAAAAGTATTTATATGCATTTTTTACGCTAAACAGAAAAAAGTATTGTTATATATGCCAGTCAACAAAAACATTGTAAAATAAATACATTATTATTAAGAAATGCATTTGTTGTACAAAATCATTAAATTTTAGTACATATATTTTCCAAGGTACAAAGCTAACATTTGTATAAAGAAAGGTACGTCATTTTGTATAGAGCAAACTTAGAAAAACAATTTCAATATGAAAGTGAAAATTAGACATTGATTGTCTATACGTGTGACATGTAATATTGTTCGTGACACACAATTGAATATGAAAGTCAAAAAGATCGTATGTTTATGTATACTTTTGTGAACGTTGAGATGATCAACATTTATCACTTTTTCTTAGGATCTTTCAAACCAGCACCAGCGTTAAATTTGAAGAAAATTATGTCTCCGTCTTCGACCACATAATTTCGCCCTTGCTGTCGGTATTTTCCTGCAGCCTATTAATTATAGTTCAATTAATAATTATGAACATTTAAAGTGTTATTTCTAACATTTACCTTTACAGCACTTTCTGAACCTTCATTTTTGAAATCTTCGAATTTCATGACTTCAGCCATAATGAAACCTTTTTCAAAATCTGTATGAATTTTACCAGCAGCTTGTGGTGCCTTTGTTCCTTTCTGAAAGTTATAAAATATCGTTATATTTTCTTCAATCAATTTAAAACAGTAAATCTAAATATTATATAATTTTTCATGTTAAATTATTTTATTTATTCGGTGAATAAATGAAGGTACTAAGCAAAACTTTTGCTATCAAGTACGTTTAATTATAATTTTCTATTTTAACTATTGGATTTGATCTACATTTTAACAACTGAAAATGATTCTTACCTGAATCGTCCAGGCTTTGACTTCATCATGACCAGCAGTGAAGAAATACATTAGCTGCAGAGCCTTGTACCCTTGGACGATAATTTTATCGAGAGCGCTATAACGTAGAGCATTGTCTCAAATAGATTGAAAATTGGTCTATTTCCCCTCCTAATACTCCCCCTCCCGTCCCAGGATGTCTTCTGCTTTCGCACTAATGATCGGTTACGTCTTAAATCGGTCCGCGAAACACAGAATTCGTGCTCAATTCGCATTTTACGATCGACTTACTAAACAAAAAGAGCAAAAGGCTACTCTGTAACGGACTATCAACGACGTGGTTCATTCCAACTGAATGTGTTTGGCACCATTAGTCCGTAAAAAGTATAATAAAAATAATTATTTTTGGTATCTGTTTATACCATAGGTATATTTTAATTATTAAATTACCAATTTGTAAAAATTCAATCAAGGTATATAATAAATGTTTACTTCAGCAATAGCTCAAAATATACATATTCTACAAAAATTCACTTATATCTGTCGATAATTGGCTAATTTTAAAAGCAAAGGTGATGACGTAAAAATACAAAGCTTCCTGAGAAAAATCAAAAGAATAGGATTGGCCGATGTCACGAGGTGAACCTCGCAGCTCTACTGTAATGACAGGGTAAGAGCCACGCGAGCCGAGTCATCCTCGAGACTTCAGAGAATACACATAAAGCCGAACGACTTAATACTGCAATTTCATCATTGGCAAAGAGAAAGAGGAGACCAGGGGCTTTTTCGACTTTCGATTCCTGCGGTCGCTCGAAATAAAATCACTGCTCACCCCTCATTATCCATGTGCTGCACGCGCGCGCCACTGTCTCTGTTCTCTTATTTTTCGACGATTTTTAGTGCGGCGACCCCGTCAGCTTGATTTTCAGAGACTTTATTTTATTCGATTCACACCATGAATTTTAATTTTGAGAAATTTACATTAAATTACATTCGGATTGTAATTGATTTATTCACAGCTCATAGTTTTGCGGTAGAATTTCTAAGTATAATCGCGTCGAAATTGTGTAATTTTCAATTTTTTCTATGAATCAAAAAATACTACTGTTTGAAAAAGTATGCGTTTGAGTTATTGCCAACAGCTGAATATTTTAATAGAATCAACGAAGATAGAAGTTACTGTATTTGTTGATAAAAACTAGAATATCTTCTGTCGCAATGTGATTATTAAATAGATATAAAATATTTTTTCCCACGTTTACTAAAATCTTTACCCTGACCTACCCTAACATTATGATCCGTAGAAGCCTTCAATGATTGCCAAAAAGCACTCACAAAAAAAAAACATGTTTTACAAGATTCAAAAAAATTTCTAAAATTGAAAAGCGCACATGCAAATTTGCAAACACCAAATATCATTAAAACAACTGAAAAAAGCTCGCTCAAGTTTAAGAACATCTTAGCAAGGCAAAGAGAGCCCGTAAAAAAGCAGCCGAATTTCTAATTCTGAGATTATAGTCCTCTACGCAAAGAGCAGACTAATCTCGCAAGAATTTGAATGAGGCGCATCGTGCGTTTTTATAGTTTCGCGCGAGCGCGAGAAGCAAAAGACGTCTAGACGCGTAACCGTATATTACGCTATAGACTGCACTTTTCGGTTGTTGCGCGCGTGGGAACCCCGATGAGTTGTCGACATTCTCAGCTTGGATGTGCGTATTTCGTACGTGAGAGGGTGGAATTTTACCTCGAAACCTTGTTTTCCTCCACGTATTTGGCCTTCTCCGCGTCGTCCATGTCGAAGTGTTTGTTTTCGAAGACGCCGCTGAAGGGAATCAATATTGCGCCTGGATCATTTTTGTCGACCCATTCTTTGATCTTGATTAACCTGGAATCCAATTGAAATATCTCAATAAACAAAAAAAAAGTTTGTGTAACAAAAGCACCCATATGAAATTGAAATCCAATCAACAAAGCGTCGATTACAGAAAGTCATCAACATTGTTCAAAAGCTACGCGGCCAATCTTTCAATGTCCGTCTAGCAGATAACAATCGAGTAATAGTTTTCACAGCGTATTTTCGCTGACAAAATCACGCGAGAGCATTTTACAAATAATGTCAAAGTTCTTTAATCGACCGTATGAATGACGCTAAATAACAAGGCTTACGCTTTTGTGTTCGAAACGTTTTGCGTATCGCTCGTTCATCGCCCACTAATATTTTTCCTTCGTCGTATACGCCGACAAGTTGTTTCCCGCGAAGGTACGAGCGGCAAAAGCGTGATAATAATACTATATAAAAGTGTTGTTGAATCCTTCGTCCACTGCTAAGATTATAAACTCAATACTGTGAAATACCACTTACCATTTGTTTTTCTTACGAATGTAGTCCTTCTCCGAAAGGTTCACCAGGTAGATCATTGGCTTGGACGTGAGAAATAGATATTTATTAAGTATCTCGATCTGAAAAAGTGAAATGCAATTATCGATTATTGCGAATCGCATTTAATTATATTAGAAGGCGCACGGTTCGACATAGCACTGTACATGACATTGGATCGCAATACCTTTATAATATAAGAACATCTGACCAATTTTATTTTATCAAAAGCTTATTTTCATGAATTATCAATTTTCTTTTGAATCATCGAGCATCACACAATAATTCTGTTTAATAAGTATTTACAAGTAAGTGAAATAAAGACGGCAAAGTATTTTTTTACAATTATCAACCCATTTTTTTATACTGTTGGGTGTGCGATATAATTGATGAAGAGCGTTGGCAGTAAACCAAGTGAATTTTGTTGGAAATTGTAAAACCGCACGATATTGCGGGATTTCTGAGAACAGACAACAAGTGAATCTGCTCGTACCGATGCTGCCTAACTTAAAATGGATACAAACAAGTTAACTCAAGAGAAATCTCTTTTTTTTTACATCAAAGTGTACAGTAACAAAAAATATGTTACTTCTATGAGAAAGTGCGAAAAAATTGTATGTGCTCTAAGTTCGAAACATTTTCTCACACTCGGAATTTTGGCTCGAGATCATTTCGCGACGATGGATATTATTATTTTTAAACAAAGTGATAAGATTTTATTTACTTACTTCGGCCAAACTCCAATCACAGAACCTAATGTGTTTCTTTTCTTCTGTCAAGACTGACTTCACTTTCAAGAGACAATCCTAAAATCAAAAATCCTTTCATAAATGACATAAAATGAAATTGTAAATAATGAAAATTAAAAGCAAAACGAAAAAGAAGAGAATCAAAGTTTTTAAACGTTGCTTTTCCACCCTACAATCGTAATCAACAATAAAAACTGTAAAACCCTCAATCAGCCAAGTGCCATCAATAAAAACTTCAATTCCGTCCACCCACCAATTCCAACGACGACTCCTCGGAACAATCGTAAAACAAAATGAAATCTCGCGTTCGCAATTACCCGCAGCGCAGTAGGCAGTGCACAATTTAAAAAAAAAAGCGTCCCGCGTGTCTTTAAAAAGCAACGAAACTGAGGTAAAGTGTAAGTTGCGCGAGCGCGGGGGCGATGGATGCGTTCCACGAAGGTTAAAAAACGAAAATTGGTTTGGACGATTAGTCGCCATGGAGGTATACACAACAATTTCGACGCTTTTTTTCGGTAAATGGGATGCAATGCGAGAGAGATATTTCGTTGTGCCTTGGTACGAAAAAGCTTTGTCTTAGTTATTTATTATCCGACTCACTTTTGATTTGGTTTCGATTTGTTTTTTTTTCCCGCGGCAATGGACAAAATTATTCAACAAATCGTATATCATTAGTTACGATTCGCGATCGTTTTTGATTATCCCAATTTTCAAAGAATTTTATTCACGACGAGAATCCAACGGAGAATTCCAAATCGATGTATAATCAGTCCTACTGTTTCTCACGTTTGTTGGACCGAAAAAAAAAGTAGCACACGAACAAAGCCATAATGCTCGAAATGATGCAGGGTAATGCGCAAACAAGACAAAAAGTCAAACACGAGTCAGAATTAAAAGAGGTGGCGCGAGCGCGGGGGAGGGAGAAATAAGCGAGGCAATCGATGCGAATTAGTGCAGTGCTGTTTCCTGGAACGAATTTCGATCTTGCTGCTGCTGCTGCTGCTGGTGCTGCTGCTGCTGCTGTAGCTGATATTCCCACAATATCGTGCGCGAGCTGACTCTGCTGCCACAATTCACCGAAAAAGTTCTGCTGCTGCCCCGCGAGAAATCGGATAATTCGGCCTTTGCCTCTCCGTTTTATTTCGGCGAAACGGATTTCGCGATTGCGCATCATGATAAATATTCAGGCAAGAATATTCTCAGATTCGATTAAGCGTACGTTAATATTATGATGGCAGTGAGTGCTAATATTTTCGAACAAAAGTCGTATTTTCAGATGCGACTGTAATACATTTCACTTGTAATATACTTCCTCAAAACTGAACTCAATTCTACATTAATATATTTCTTCTAAAGTAATGTTTGAATAACTCTGCAAAAGACAAGATATGCGCAAAAAGTGCCAAAAAGCAAAAAAATAAACAACGTAGCTACTTACCCACATGCCCAAGTATAGAAAAATAAGAGGAGGCATCGTAGTATGGTTTATCACAAAGAAGAAAAGAAAGGAGCAGTCGATCCGACGGCCGAGCCGCGCTCGACGCATTGTTATTACTCGTACGATGAATCGACTCTCCATATACACACATACGCGGGCTTAACGAGGGCTATGCACAAATTGAATGTAATCGGTTTCTCCCCTTTTCTCTCTCGCGCTTGCGGGCGAGATCTAACGCAATTTGCAATTACCTCGCGTGCGCGTGGGCGCCGTTAGTTGCTCCAGGCTGCCCAATGCAAATACTCCGAGACGCGACAACCTGGCGTCTTCGCGTATGCACTACTTTATTGTTTAACTTTTTTTTTCATGATCGTTTAATTATGGGTATTTTCTCTTGCGAGAAGGAGGGTTGATCTTGCACGATGATTGCTTGGCTATCGGTAAGGTGTATATAGATATTGTGAATGAGAGTAGTTGAACTTACGTATTCAGGCTTCAGCTTCTTGTCGTTCCCTCTGACGACCAATTTTTCTAGCTTTTCTAAATGGCCATTAAGGAATTCGATGTCTTTCAGTCTCAACTCGTCGCTGATGATTTCAAAATCCCTTACAGGATTGACGTCGCCCTCTACGTGCGTCACGTCGTCATCTTCAAAAGCTCCTACAATCAAAATATTTTAATTATACCTTTTCTTAGCCATGTAGAATATGGAGTTTTCAAATAATGTAAAATATTACTGATTTATTTAGTTATCTCAAAGTTTAATTTGATTCACTGGCTTTAAATATAAATATTTATGTAATTTTTAAGAAATGGCTATTTAGCTGTTTCTTTACAAATGCTAACCATTTTAAGGCAGATAGTAAGAACAAATTGATCTTATAAAAAAATCGAGATATGAGCCTGCGAATGATTTTCGCTTTAAATTAAGTACTTTCAATTCGACAAATAAAAAATTTCGAATCGGTCAGTACGAATCCTTGTTGTGAAGGCTTCTTACGTCACGAAGCCATTCAATGTAAATTACTTGTTTAAAAAAATTACATGCACGACAGCTGTTATGTTCCTTTGTGCTTTTCAAATTGCTTTTGAATTGTAACACGATACGAGCAAACCAGTAAGATTACAATAATAACGAAGGAGCAGGAGTAGAATTAAGAAAAAGGCATAATTTTTTTCCAGATATGACTTATTGAATCGAACATGGCACTGCTGCACTTATACTTGTCAGTTAGCAAGAAGTGAGAAGGAATAATACTGATGATCACGCAATGCTACGCACGCGCGCGCGAGAAAGAGAGAGACAAACATGTAATAAGCCAAACAAAAGAGAAAGTTAGTAAGATAATTTGACGAGAGTGGATAAAAGGAACATCAAATTTTAGGGTATAATTTATTCGACTTAATTTACCGAAGCATACGAAAAAACACACATGGATATGTTTTGTTATTCGTCGAATTGATTAGCTTTCGCACGAATGTTAATTGTTTCTCCTTAATTTTCGCTGAATTTCTGTGGAAAGTTAGCAATTGTATAATCGACACAGTTATTTAGATAACTTCGTATAGGAAAGCGCACTCGCTTTGTTCAACGAGTTATGGAATGAAGCTATTATTATACGTTCGTCACAACACGACTATAACACAGTTAAATATGCAATAGTTGTCTGCTTTGTACTTGATATAATTGACCAAGCGGTAGAAACATCAAGGGTTTACAAAGTCAGGTAAAAATAACGATGACTTTTTCGATGCAGTCCCATTTCTTGCCAAACTCGCAATTCGCTGCGCATAAAAGCAAGTCGTTTCGTTGAGACTAGTGCGCTGGCTGACTGTAGAAATGGCGATTCAAAAAGCAACTCGCACGCGATCTTTCTAAGATATGTCAACGTAAAGGTTTTAGCGCTGGTCTGCTCTATAGAAAAGCTGCATGAATAATAGAGAGTAAATCAACCTTCCAGCTCGCTCAGTGAGTAAAGTGCGTGAGCACAGTGAGCTTTGATGTGTATGCTCATTGATTTACTCGTCTATGCGCGCTTCAACAGTCGAATTGATTGTCGTCGCAGTCGAGTATATAGAGGCAAAACCGCGCGACTTTGTGTTACTTCTGAAAGGGTTGAAAGCTATAAGATTCCGCAGCTCTCTGCCGTGCGCTCTGCTTTATTTTTACGACACGGGAAGTAGACTACGCAGAGATACATATATATGAATACATAGCATTGGAGAGAAAGGCTGTTAGTGCTTTGTCGCGTGACTGCTGTGCTGCTGCGCCTTGTGCATGCGGACATACTTACGACAAAGATGGAAGATGGCATCGCAAGCACTGATATGCGACAAGAAAGCGTTTCCTAGACCTTGTCCCTCGGCGGCACCCTTGACTAGACCAGCGATGTCGACGACGTTGAGGAAAGCTGGCACTTTGCTGTCAACATACGCAGAAAACATTTTTTAACGTGGCCAGGCGAAGGCTCGTTAGGCAATTATTGGGCTCAGTGAAGGCACGTTTATTCATTTGATGCGTTGCACAATGTGGCACGTGTCGGGATCCAACGACAAAAGACGATCAAAGAGTCGCTGCCGGCTTCATTATTCGGCTGCTTTGCATTTTCCAATTACATTCGTCGACGCCAGATACATATACCAGAGAGCGACGTTCATTATTCGCGTTGTATAGGACAGCGCGGTAATGACGTCGACTGCGAGTACACGAATAAAAATGATTCACCCGGGAAATTGATTTTCCGTTCATTCGTTAGACTCGATCGTACTCGAGTTGGGACGTCGCTCTCAATTTATTTTAAAACGAACAAACGGCGAAACTCTAAGGATGTTACGCGAATGCACTTTTCTCAGCGAACAACGAAAGAAATAAATAGGCACTGCAGGCAGCACACGTAAAACTCAGCTTTCCTCGCGACACTAAAGAAGAGGACGATAAGAAGAAAAGCGGCTTTCAAGTAGCTTACTCAGCACCATGTCCCTTTGCTGAAAGAATAAGACGCGCGCAAAAAATCTGCAATGCAGATTCGAACCGTCGAAGCAAAACGTGTGTGAAAACGTCGCGTAACGTCGCTTATTCCGCTAGACCGAGTTTTTCGCCGCGAGCTCTTTGTGCGCAGTTCGCACTCTCTCTCTTTTTTATTCTTTGCCGTTCGTCTATGCATATATGTACTCACCTTGCTGGTTTGAAGTACTCGCAAAGGTAGTCGAAACGCGCATCCGGAACTGGTACCCTACGTGCTTTCGTGGAAAAGTGATGCGGTCAGTCAAAAATCGACATTTTTCATGGTAATTCTTATTTTCCTTTTCTTTGTTTGCACTTTCATAAGATTTTTTTTTCCAAGAACTTGCATTATTACAAATCTTCGATGAAAGATATGTTTTTTATAAACAGTGCAATGAATGATAAGCAGTTTTATGAAGTAAAACGATAAATTTATTCGCACAACGCGATTATCGGTTTATCCAGTACATTAGCATAACCTCTCGTGCAAGATAACAATTAACTATGAAATGTCATCGTATTCAATCGGCGCTATCATCAGTTTCAAGTAAAATGTAACTGAGCGAAGTTCTCTTAAATTTAACCGTCGCTGGCATCGTATAATCACCCTCCGACGATTTCATATCTTCCGTCCCATCACCGTTACTAAGTTCTGTTTCGTCTCTGAGCACAGTCAACCAAGGATTGATCCGTTTCTTCATACACTCAATCGCACGCTTACTAATCTCGCATCGTCTCTCCATGTTATCTAAAGCCTTCTTATATAAATTAACTTCCAAAGGACATCCACCGTATGCTTTCAGAAAAGTGCCAATATACACAGCTGCACTTGCACTGGGCGACAAGTCCAGTAATTTCGGTCGCAATTGAGCCACACGCGTCACGGCTTTCGAGAGAAGTGCCACTACTGTTTGCTCCAAATAGCTTGTCGACGGTAGATTTTTCATATCGATAGACGGAAGCTTTTCAGTCAAGTGAATTTCAACTGTGGAGTACTTAAGAAATTTTTTATTGAATTTTTCACGGCACGACTCGCTGCAGAAGAGGTACAATTGATGCTTGTAGAGCGCGGCTAAACTTGGACTTCCTATTACGAGCTTGCGACTCGGTAGATTGTCTACGTACGAGATGAGGCAGTAACCTTTATTCACTAATTTCGTTAGCCAACAGTGGTTGTCAAGGTCGACTATGTCACTGATGATTTGCGGATAGTGCTCGGGCAGTTTTATGTTGTCAAAAAGCTGCAAGCTTTCATTAGGATTTCGTCTGAAGAGTTCAATATGCTTATTGCAAAACCAGTAATAATACGCACGATACTGAACGAGGCCTATGCGACTTTTCGTCAAATCTGCATTATTGTAAATTTCGTGAAAGTAGATGCAACTTGGGCAGTAAAGTTTAAACTGACTGACTCTACTTTCAATTTCCCATGGCCTGACGCACAAATACTGCAGCTCGTGTACTTTATCGTAATCAAGCTCGCGTATGTACGTCACCAGAGCAGCGAATCTTTGTCTTACGCTTTCGTCAGCTTTTTTCCAAACATAAGCTTTACTTTTTGTGGCGTTGATTTTCACGACGTTTCCAAAATTATCGCCCAACCATCCTCTGAACACACCCGCGTCGGTGTTCCAGTCTTCGTAAGCTTGGCAATGCGACTCGATGAGATAACTGTAATGATCATCGTCCTCGAAACATCCGAGAGTAAAATCGAGAGGACTTTCAAGATCTATTACGACTATCGGATTGATTGCTAGAGCAACGAAAGCTTGCGATTCCTCGATGTTTGCTGGAAATCCATCGAAGACGCAACCTTGTGTAACGCATTGTAGATTCGACAGAAAAAGTCTGACTGACGAGGCGATTTCTTCCGAGGTTACTGTTTCGCCATTCTGTAGTTTACTCTTCATGCTGATTGACAAGTTGGAAGTTTGAAAGTGCGTTAGTACGTAATCTATGACTTCGTCACGGGTGATTAAATCAAAGTCGTACGTCGATGCAAAGCTTTTACTTAAAGTTGTTTTGCCACACTTTGGTGGCCCTAGTATCGAGATTTTTATAGGAATCATAGGTACTTGGGTGTCTTGATTCAAATACTTTAACGGATGTCTTTTAAAATCGGTGAGAGCTGTTTCACCAGCGAGAAAATAAATAAACTGACGATGAGTGACAGTGAAAATCTGATCGCATCTTGCCAGTGGCAAGAACATTTGAAATAAGTTTTTACGGTCATACAGCTGTACAGGGCAAAATCTTCCGAATGAACTTAAAAAATAGAAACCAGTAGATAATAAATACTCTGCAGTAAGATTATCGATTTCTTGTACTTGTTCGAGAAATGATGAATTTCTCAAATTATACGGAGATAATATATGAAGAATTTTAATAAATACTTGTTGGATGTCTTGTCTTGCGTCTACTTGGATCCATGGTACAGCTTCATTTTCGAAGAAGCTCGAAATAATAGACAGGTTTTGCATAGTTCTATCGTAGTTTTCTTCAATTTGCAGGCAAAATTTTTCTTTTACTGAGTCTTCGTCATCCCACGCGTCGAAAGGTTCAGGTTGAGGAAAGAGTTCGTAATATTTTTTTTCAATCTCGACTTTCTCTTCGACCGATAACACAGTCGCCCAGTCGGTTATGTCTGAAAGGCTTCCTAAAATACTCGAGTCTTTTGATTGAGATTTATTTTCGTATACAGAACCAAACTTTTTCTCTCGATATATCTTTAGCAATTCGTTTCGCATCCATAATTCTTTTTTATTCAAGTAATTGCTCATATCACGCAAATGCTTTCGTTCCTCTTCTTCTCTTTTTTTATTTTGCTCAATATGCCACTGTTTTACGAAATTTGTCAGTAATCTTTTTTCTGAGTCAGCAAAATCACATCGTAATTCTATAACTAAATCAGGTACAATTGAATATTCCAATATAGTTTCACAATCCTCGAGGCAATTTGGAAATGAATCGAGCAGTAATCCGCATTCGGAAAATGGTGGCTTGAAAAAATCTAAGATGCATTCTTTCGTTATGAAACTCGGCAGCTGTGTACCTTCTTTTTTGTATTTTAAGAAGAAATTACTGATCGTGGGTTTATCTAGATTGTACATTTGATCATCGAGATCTTCAGGCAATCGAATTTCATCCCAACTATTTTCACTGCTACTATCGTCTTCAAAATTATCCACAGTCAGTAAGGATTTTAAAGATTTAACATCGATTCCACGACTCGACATATACAGATCTAATCTTTTGAAAAAATCTACATGAGCTAGACCAATCTCTCTTGAAATTAAATTGGCTAAAGTTGATTTGCCACTTGCCGGTGGACCAACTATAAAAACTCGTAAAGATGGTATTCTTGCGAGAGGTTTCTTGAAAGGCACTTCCAAATTCGGATAGTTCATCATAAAATCATCCAATGCTACTTGACTGGACATGACATATAATTTTTCAGCGAGTAAACATTTATGTTCCATTTTCCCTTTCCAAAGTATTCCATGCTTTATCAGAGAAACAGGGCAATATACATCGCAATCACCTGGAGGGTAATTACTTTCTTGATTTTTCTGAATCGATAAGTTATTCTCTGATTCGTATTCTTCTTCGCCTTCGTCGCCTCCATTTTCTTCGATAATTTCAGGTGTGTAATCATACTCTTTGCGTATTGCAGAAGATACGTGTGCTATTGGATCACTAATGAATTTTAAATCACACAAAATTACATCAATTCCGAGATCTGCTAATTTACTTGCTGTGTACTTTCTGCTATTTTCGAAAAATTCGAGTTCTTTGATGTAATCTAAAAGACGCGAATCAGCCGGTCGTTGTTCAAAATCTGAGAATAATTCTTCATGGCTAATTTCACTTTCATATAAATACTCATGTTCATTGATTCCAGAGTTCTGTTCTTGCAGCTTTTCCCAATTATTCACGAGAGTGCTATATGGATCACTCTCATACAACATAACAGCAGTGTCGATGTTGATATCATTTTCCAAGAAAGTTTTGCATGCATTATAATCCAAATTCAAGTCATCCAAAATCCAACCTCTGTTTCTCGTGAAACATCCACAATCTTGTTCAGGTAAATTTTCAATAATTTCTGCAATGGAATTAACAATTTCTCCAATTCTCGAATTCATAGTTTCACTCGCGTTAGTTCCACTAGAAATCTTATCGGAATTCTGATTAAACCGCTCAATCACTTCACGTACATTTACAACAACACTGTCGAGTTCCTTAGCTAAATCCCAGCTTAATTTTGTTTTCCCCGAAAATTTCGGACCCATCACGGCGATTCTACAGCAAGGCCGAGGATTCGGTGGCAACAAGTAAGACCTTGGATTTTCAATAAACACTTCGGCAGCTTCACTTGACGACAAAAAGAATATCCATCTCATAAATCGTACGGCAAACGTTTTCTTACCCTCGATCTTTTTCCCTCTCGCAAGCTCGACCGGACAGAGAAATTTCCAACGCGATAATTGCCATTGAAACTTGTCGGACGGCACGCCATTGCGTCGTAACTCGACGAACGAGCGTTTCAAATTCAAAGTATTATCATTTTCAGTATTCTCGAATGATTCGTCTTCGTAGCCGAGCCACTCGCTTTCCGAGGAGATGTCTAAACTATCTTTAAAATGATTTTCTTCGGGCATCATTCTTTCAGGAATGATTGCTGGTTGTAGGGGTAGAACTTGCAAGCGTAGCTTGACTGTTTCGAATATGTGTTCGGTAGGATAGCGACCGTCAATGCGAATAACATTCTGAGGATTGTGCGTTACAATGAATTTTTCTATAGTATCTTTAACTTCCCTCTCATATCTATATAACTGGCATCCTAAAGTTTCAATAAACGCCGACTCCGGGGCAGATTTAATACTAGATTTACTCGAAATTACGGCAGATGCGTTTGACTGACATTCGATATTCTCGATCAATGATACAGAACAAGAACTGCAACTTTGGTATTTAGCTAAAATTTCATCATCGGGGCAAATGACATCCACAATGACATCGGGCTTTAGATGCCAGTTATTGAAGACGTCGTACAGTTGAAAGAAAACAGTGTACACCGAGCACTGATTCGAACTACTTGACTCTTCGGAGCAAAGGCACCTTTCTGAACTTTCAGTACTTCGGTCACTCGATGAAAGTTTGAGTGACTCGATAGGCGCATTAGATGAGCTTGTAGACTGATTACTGTCAATCGAGTTACTACTTACTTTCGAGTCTGCAGAGTCAATTGATTTTTCTGAATCACACGGCTTGCACAGAACGTCTGACAAGGCAACGCAATCGCGTATTTCAACTATAACGAAATCTCCTCGAGGTTTGTCTGTATCGTTTGATTTCAAACTTTGCTCAGAATCTTCAAGCGACACATTCTTCGCCAAAATTGGCTTTCTACAACTTTGTAGTAGAGGTAATCCTTCGAGTACGTAGCCTCTGTGATTTACGCTTCTTTCATGCATCTTACCAACAATCCTATTCCAAAGCTCTTCTTCCGTCGAAACGCGCGCACACTGCGCGTCCTCTTGTTTACCGAGCTGCAGTTGCCGTAAAATTTTCGTGGCTGAAATCAACACGCAATTTCTGTCGTCGGCTATCAATTCCGCCAGTGATTCCGTATCCAAGCCAGGTTTCCCGAGCACAATGAAACACACCGGTTTCGCGCTGAGATATTTTATTCGCGCCTCTTCTTCCGAGTAAGGATCATCATTCGTAGGCGGCCCGGAGCGTGGAGGTGCAGTGCTACAATTTCCGATAAAATCTGTATCTGCGCCGGCATGGCGAGAGGGATCGGCATCTGCGTTGCAAGCGTAATAAATACTCGCTCGAGGGTACGAGCATTGTTGTACTTCTGCCTCGTGCCGCGATGAAAAATCAAGGCGCTCCGAGTAACAACCTCTTATCGAGCTTAACAAGCTTCGTCTCGCGACGATTGACGTGTCGATTTTATTATTGCTCCTCTTGTCGTTTTCACTTCTTTTCGGCATCGTGCGACGAGGACGAGCAAGACTGCCGCTCGTCCAGTCGGGAATTGACTTTAGCTTTCGAGGTTACGTTTATTTTCGAAACGACCGCTCGCAGAGGCGCGTCGTTGATATTGGTTATGTTAAAAAAAGTAAATGTGAATTTGAAGTAGCTGCGAGTGCAAACAAACTGAAAAGGAAAATAGGCAAAGAGCAAAAATACTTATTCTCATTTGGGTCGATCGTGCAGAAAGGGAAATTCTCAGCGGCAGCCTGACTCTTGGTTAGGACATTGAAGAAGGTTGATTTTCCGACGTTGGGGAGGCCGACGATACCAACTTTAAGGTTTGTTCCTACGCGCCCAATCAGCGGCTTCTTCTCCGGCTCTTCGACTTTTTTCGGCGGCATCCTGCAGTAACAACAATTGTATTTTACTTTCAAAGGCAGCTACGTATCAAATTTCATTCGATTCGTTTTTACTTTTATTGCGCTGGCAACGCGATAAAGGAATCGCATCTGTAGGTACCGTTGCGGCCAGCATTCGATCGCTATCGGATTTCTCCATATCGGACTCGTTTCATTATTATTACGGGGCAATCGAGCTGAATCGCAAGTTGCGACGGCCGCGTCCGCAATTCATCTCTTTGCGAACGCGTTGCTTTGGGGCTGGCTGCCCGTGCCGCTGCGCGCAGCTCGACCGCGCGATTGCGGAAATCATTGGAATGCCTCAGCGTTAGATGCTTTCTTTCGCGCGCGCGCTCTTTGTTTCGTATGCAATTACCGGCGATAAGAGTCGATTCGACAATCGCCAGAAACTTTTGCGATCGGCCGAGCGCAGAGAAATACTTGGCGCGAATAACCGAAGAAAAATCTCCCTCCGCGCAAAACATCATTACACGCGCGTAATTCAAAACCATTCCATTATAAGCATAAATATCAGGTTACTCACCTCGCGAGCCAAATGTATAATACGCACACGTCGAGCGCGAATCATCCCCATCGACGTTCAACTTTAAGCTTCCACTCTGCGATGAAATTGGCTCAAGAAGCCCCGAGGATATGTAGCCCTTGAGCTACGAATTTGCTTGTTCCGATGCAGGCATTTTTTAACTCGGCAGGCTGATGTCGCTGAGGCTTTCGCTCGCGGTGACTAATTATATTAATGCGGGTAGAGGCCGACCTGCTCGATAGTAGTGTTTACCGCGAGATTACACGAGCTACAACCCTTCGGGTATGATTCGTTGACGACGGCGACGGCGACGGCGACGGCGACGGGATGCCTTGGTCGAATATGCGAGGCTATCCAACGATTTTTTTGCCGGTTGTTGGACTTCTTGCTGTCATTACAATTGTACGATGATTATGTTTACGGCGATATGTTCCAGTGTACGCTCCGCTATTTCACGTCAATCGAGTAATATTGAATAAGCCTGTGCTATTTTCATACGATATGTCTTTGTTACAGTGCGCTCGAATAAACTAAAACATTTGCCGAACATTTTAACATTTTGCCAAATTCGTCAGGTGTCCAGATGTATAATGTAGTGTGATTCTATGTCATAACGTTAAATTAAACTTGATTCCGAGCAGCAACGGAAAAGCAACAGCAAATGCAAGATTAAAAATAAAAGAGATAGGAAATGTTATTGAAACGACAAAGTGAGTAAAGAGAAGATGGAATGGCGGTTGGGAAGCCACGATTATTAGGTACAGAGCGATATCGCACCGCGTGCGGATCCGCAATGCACCCCCGTCCCCCAGGCCGCCAATAATCTGCCACCGCATCGCAACTGCAAGTTTCAAGCTTCCTTTCCCTCCTCTTTTGTCCTTTTCTCCTGTGGCCAAGCGCGCGCCTTTATGATCGCTCATAAACGGCCTCCGCACCGTGCGTATATTGTTAGATATTCGCCGCCGAAGAGAATTTGTAAATTATAGTAACGAGCGAAAGAGAGGGAACGGCGTATACCTACTCGAATTGCCGGCGCCGACAGGCGCCCGCGAGATTCCTTTTTTCCTTACATCGCGCACTTTTCATTTTGTGTCTATGACTTTCAAGACGATTATACTTGGAGTGCTTCGAGTGATATTGAGTTGGACTTCACCAACCTCTTTTTAAATAGTGGATATGAGGTGCTGCACTTTTTCAAAAATTATTAGAATTAACATTTTATAATGCCTATGCTGTTATGTGTCGTAAGATTAACTTGATAAAATAATTGCAGAGCGGCATACACCTAACATTATTTTTTAAAACATTCCATCAAAATCGTATGTACATTTATTATCTACACCACTAACATCATGAATAATAAATTATAAAACTGATTGAATAACTTGATATTAAATTACGAATTTATATCGATGCAAATTGTCGATTATAGTTATAGAGTTGGATAAATGCTACATTGCAGAGAGCCTGTTTAAATATTAGCTACGGTAAAGCAAGCAAGCGTTGACGTTCTATATATATTATACACACACACACACACGTTTAAATGTAAAAACAGACAGTTATATATAGGCATATATCTCGCATACAATAGTCGCCCCTAACCTAACATTCCAAAACCGTTCCGGTGTTTTTAGTTTTGTTACTTTCATCTTTCGCTCGACTATTTCTACACTGTAATCATTTAAACTCACCGGAATATCAAGAAATATCATGTATTGCAAAAGATTGTTTCATTATAAGTTAATTTCCCCAAGATTATTCATAAAAATACTGATCTAAATATTCGGAGGAACAATGACAATATCGTTCGTATTTCGAATCTCCAAAACAGCATGAGTGAAGTTAAGTAATTACCTGCTTATAAATTGTCGAAGAACCGATGTGTATAATTAAATTTCCAGTTTTATTTTAAACTATTTTAACACTCGCGGGCGAGAGAAGAACAACGTGTCTTTGCACTACAGTCTCTCACGGAAACACACGGATCTGGCGCGTGACGTCATAGCGCAGTTGATGAACAAGTATATATGTATAGGTACTGACATAGCTCTCCTGACGGGTTCTGCTTTATCGATCGGATTGCCCGCGAAAAAGAAATATTGCTTCAGTGATAATCATCATAATTATTTTTTGAAGTACGGCTACATTTATGGATTGTAGTAAAATTTACTCTAGTGTCATATTAATTGTCAATCTTGTGAAATACATGATATTAAAATTTGTGTTTGGCACTTTAATATAATTTTGTATTGATTTGACAAAAATTTGTGAACGAATTTAGATATATAATCGATGAACGTTTGGCTTTCTAATAGATAATTTAATTGAAAGCCAAAGCGAAGCCAGTAGCGTCAACAGTGAAAAAGTAATAACTGAGAAGCGGAGTGTAGAAGAGTTGAGAAAAAAGCCAGAGCAGATGTGGCTGTTGCAAAGCTCCTCCTCAGCGAAAAATCTCGACCTTGACCGAGCAACGTCGTTCTGTATACCTTGCTATTTTATATATTTTTAATAAATATGTCTTGTGTATATCTTAGTCTTGTGTTTATTTACGCAGCTTAATAAATGTTCGATAAATCGATAAAGTTAAATAAAGAATTGATCATTAATATAAAACTCTACCATTATTACCTTCTGAGTTAACTGATATTACGCCATTAATGACTAGCACTGTCGTAATAAATAAATTAATAACTAAAGGTGTCACGAACGTAGGATGTCGTATTACCGAAGAAAAATCATTGATACAAACGTACTTATTCGATTGATCTCTTGGTGGCCAATAACAGGTTATGCAGAGCAAAAAATATTCATTCGGAGCTGCCTTACAGTTCCCTCGAAGGCTCTTGGATATGCATGCGAATCTCACGACCGGAAACCTACATATATAAGAATCGAGTGGCATACACTCGCGGCACCATCGATTGAATTAAAGACACAGAATACCACAAATAGACGGCGCCAACCTTCCATCTGATGTTTTGTTTTGTTATCGTTGTTCTTCATTACTTCTGACCGCTACGCAATTTTCAAGCATGAACCCATTGAAAATTGCGCTTGGCGCCGCGAAACTTTTGTTCCCATACGTGCGCGCTATGCGTGGATCCTTGATTTCCAGGATGCAGACGGAGATGAACGTCGCGCCTCTGTGGCGGCGGCCAAAGCGTGGCAAAATGGGGGCGTCAGCGGACGGCTTTTCTGAAAATTGTAAATAGCCATCAAAATCGATTACCTTTAATTGCCCGATACCTTAGTACCTACTACCTAGAACGTTTCTTTAAATTATATGCAGTTCAATTTTTCATTGTAATTTTCTTCAAGCAAAACAGCGAGATGCCGGATATCTTTTTTAATTTTATGATGACCAATTATTTTGTTTATTTTTTGACGAGCATTCGATACCTTTGTTGTCTCAAGTCTACACTAACGAGACATGATCAAATCAAATATGGAAAGCATTACTGTGGGTGTATTGTGAAATATTTGTTTCGATAACGTTATATTTCTGTCACCGGAAGATGAATATGTATTAAATAAGGAAAACTGAACGAACAAAAAATTCTCATTGAGTTCAGGCCTTGATGAATAAAAGCGGCTGAATGGTGCCTTTCACGCGTGTTTTCTATTGTATTGATCAAATCCCATAAACTTTGTGCTACGTGCAAGCCATTATGCACCAGCATAACGTTTGATTATAGGAAAGGGTAGTATAATTGACTGCATACACCGTCAATACTTTTCTGTGATTATCGTGCTAAATTATCGCTCAAGGTGAAATACGTCTTATTATGTGGAACGTTGATCCTGTTGCGACTTCTTCCGTGGATGTCGCATGTGTCCAAACGTCCACATTAGTTTAATTTTGTTTCGATCTAGTCTTGGCAGCTCTCAAGTTTGTTTAATAGCAGACTGCATATTGGCAGGAGCACGTCTTTACGTGTTAAACAATGTAAGCACTACATGGTCGAGTTAATGGATAGCGCACGTTTTAACGTAAATAGAGCCGAAGAGAGAAAAGTCGCTATTGTAATTCTTGATGGAATGCAAGGGAAAGGAATAGTGAAGCGAAACGCGCACCGGGAACACAGTTGTCGGTAATCGCAACGATATATTTTATTCTTTTAGGACGTCATCTGCATACTTGTGAAAAATTTAATAAAAGTGTAAAGATTAGTTGAAAAACATATTTTTCTTTTTACGCCGCAGAGAACAAAGGAGAAAGCGCTCATCGAACAGTAAAAATGTTATGCACTCTTACAGCACTCCTTATGCGAGGCAAGTGCTGTAAAAAAGCAATCGATTTAGGTAAAACAGCTGTTCTATAATGAAACGCACTTAGCGAGCTTTGAAGAGTCAGATGGTTACCGCGAGTACATACATATGTCGTTCGATACGGCCATCAGTTTCAATCCCCGTGAGCTTTTTCCCTCTTTGCCACGTATAAAGGAATGATGTATGCCCCATTGTAAGAAGCTCGCAATGGGTGAGTGGCGTTTACTACCGGCTAAGTAATTTTTCGGTATTTTACATAATAACGAAAGACTCTTCGCTCTTGCGGTGCGTGAGACTTTTAAATGTTTTAAAGCTCATTGAACTTGATGTTTTATCTTGCAACAAATGCTATACTCGTGTGAAGATATCGATAACGAATAAATAAGTGTTGCGATAAGGAATTGTTCAATGTGAACGAAGTAGATAAGGTATTGGCGTGGTTAGACAACCAACTTAAACATAATCCGCTTGTTTACAAACTTTGCAAAGTTCTTCTGAATCGTTAATCTTGGAAGACTCTCTACATCTCTACGAGTAGATCTCTCGTTCTTGCAAAAGAAGAGCTCTGGACATCTTTTTTAACAGCATTCTATCGATAGGAAAGCGTGGCAGATAGTTAAAAACGAGAAGCGCGAAACTATCAAGATACCTGACGTTTTTAACGATGTCGTAATAACTTCCTGGTCCAAGTCGGAAACTAGTAATGGACCATCGGCTGCGTTTCGCGCTCATAAAACGCGCGATGCGCTGCTGCATCGTTGCTCGTATAGTCGCTCTCTTCAAAAGTACGCAACTTTGCCGCTCGTCTTTTTTTTTTCTTCGCCTCCAGCCTTGCAATGAGGCATCATTACATGTAGAGCGAACGAGTATATACCTCCGAGCTGAAAGATACGCAGATGTATAAGTCTCACGTGTATCGATGTACATTGCCAACGTTACTCAGAGAACGTTGTGTCATTTCGTGTAATTGTCAAAGATCATTTTTTATTGAATAAAATTGATAATTCATTCAAATGCGTGCACAATTTCCTTATGCTGCATAGCTTCCTGAGAAACTGTGTAAAGCTGTAGAATTATTATTTTTTTGAGTAATTGAGTAATTAAGTACCTAACAATACCTCGCTATATACTCAGTCACAACGCGCTGAATAATGAAAAAATTCTATCATGTTAAATTCAACATTCATATTTCCACCATTTGTCTGAGAGCATACATATGGTGATGTGCTTAATACTCTATAACCAAGTTTTGAGTAATAAGTATATACTTAGTTATTTAATGCCGCCTCTCTGTTAACCTCGGAGGGTGTATATAGGAAGATGTTTGCGCATGCATTGCAGAGTGTAGTTATCTTTTTCCGCCGTATACGCAACGATTAATTGTAATGATAACAAATGAAGTAGTCAAAGAGATAACTAAATATTCGTACAAAGAGAGCGATGAATTAACGTACCGCGTGCGATATGCTTAATAAAAAGCTTGGTGCAGATGAAACTCCGTTGTTGACTCGCAGCGGGTGCTAGTAATAGAGTGGATTACAGAAATTAGTCAAACTGACGATATACGAGCTCGCGCGATGGAAGAGCGTGTTATCCATTTTTTAATGGCGCTCACACCTTCATCGCGGGTGCACGTGCAGTTCGGCATACGTATACGGACGTCCATATATCACATATGATTTCTTGCCGAGAGTGCGCGTTTAATGAGCCCGACAAAAATGCCGTTTCCGCTGCTTTACGATGTGCGTGACGTTATTGAAATCCGAATTGGCGGGTAATAACACACAATTCCATACGCTCATCGCCGCTCCGAGTTACTATTTCATATCTGCGGTTGTATAGTGCGCCAGCGGCAACTCAACCGTCAAGCTCGTAAATAAAATGGGAGCTCGATGGCTAGTGATCGAGTATCATATCTACAAGTGGCGAAGTGGCTTTTTATCGAACACCCAACCGCGAAAATAAATAAAATCCATTGACGTCGCAAAGGCTCGCTTTTTGTTTTAAATGGCAACTGTGTTACGTCGTTTACGCGTCTACTCCGTTCGTTGCATACCTAATATCTCAATTCTCGTTCGATTACCGCGGCAAGAGCGAGAGTCAAGTTCCCGTGACGCGGCTGCTATAAGAATGTATCGAATAAGCAGGAGAGTAGGGCGACACAGGTATACGCGATGCGTGCCTGCACGCACGCATAACTGCAATGCTGCTCTAGCGAAAGCACTTGCTGGCCGCAAAGCTCGTGGCGATTCGTACACGGCGAGTCGTCGCTGCAGGTAATAAGATGTCATTAGTTTGCGCGAGAGCTACCGACTTTTGCCGGCACACAAAGATGCCATCAGCGGGTCTCTTTCTTTGCTTTATCCCTCTGTCTTGCTTTCATTCCCTCGTAGGTCTGTGCGAGAGAGGATAATTCCACGTTTTGTCGGCTTCGGTGCGAGCTCAGCGCCGATGAGCGGTGATTTTCTAGTTGCAGCCGCGCAAGTGAAAGAAACCGAAACCTTTTAATTTTCGAGTATTAAGAGCCTTATCTCTCGGACCACTCGTCTCGCCTCGCTTCGCACGCTATTTATTGAAAATGTGCTATTGTTTTGAAGGGCGCTCGCGCGTTTTCAATCGTTGGCGATTACTTCTGCTTTTTTTCCTTCTTCTTTAACGGAAACGTTTGTATGCGCCGACTCACTGCCTATTTTTGTGGTAGTTGGTAATTTTAT